CCTAACCCAACACGCTCTTCGTACAGGTGAGGAAGTTGAGGCTCAGGGAGAGGTAGGGCCTGTGTCAAGATTGTGAGGTGAGTCAGGGACAAGATCTCAAGGATCCGGGTCTCTGAGCTGCCAGTTCAGAGAGGATAGGACTCTGGTCAAGGTTAAAGACGGCATCTGCTAGGCTGTGGAGAGAGAACTGTAGACTTAGATAGAGAACAGGACCAGACGGGACTGATGGTCACCTGGCCTGAGCAAGGCTGCCCCAGAGATGAGGCTCTGAGGTGACAGAAGAGCCTGACCCCCCCCCCCCCATGGAGCTCTAGGCATGCAGGAATGAAATTGTAATAATAATGAGAACTACTGTTTTCGACTCCCTGCGTGCCAGACACTGAGCTGGAGGCCTTATGACTGTCTCATCACTTATTTCAAGCAATGGCCCTAAATAAGGGATGAATGTTGATGTCTATTTTACATAGGTTCCCAGAAATAATAGAGGTCTCTTGATGTGCCGAAATCACACAGGAAACAAGTTGCAGAGTCAGGCTTGGAGTCCAGGCCATCCTGACGCACAGTCTACCTCTGAGCTGCTTTGCATCTATGTGTTTCTTATTCACAGTTGCATCCCCAGTGCACAGTGCTAGGCATGCAGGAGGCATTTTTGAGGGATTGAATGAAGAAAGAAGATTTAGGAGGAGGTGTTGGAAGCTGGGTGGAGAAGCCGTGGTTGGATTCCAGGAGCTAGAGCTGGTCAAGAGAGGTATGGTAGTACAGACCAGGCTTTGGGAGTAACATCTACTGGCAGGTGACCTGGGCAAGGCCCCTGTCTTCAGAGTCTGTTTTCTTTCTTGATGTTAAACAAATCAGCCAGCTGGCCCAGTGTTGGCCCAGAGGAACTTCTCGTGGATACTTTGTAATCATTTCATGTTCTAGTTGTTGCTACATGTAAGATTTATATTTCTGAAAAATGAGCAAGGATCTTGGTATGATTGCTTAATTGTTATACTCAATTTATTTTTAAAGATTTTATTTATTTGAGAGAAGAGAGAGAGAGCGAGCGTGAGTGGGGGAAGGGGCAGAGGGAGAGGGAGAAGCAGGCTCCCCACTGAGCACAGAGCCCCACATGAGGTCCCATCCCAGGACCCTGAGATCATGACCTGAGCTGAAGTCAGACACTTAACTGACTGAGCCACCCAGGCACCCCTCTATTAATTTATTTTTAAACCAGTAGAGAGAAAAACAGTTTTATTGTGAGTGTTAGGTCTCAGACTTATACAAGGCATTTTGGTGAAGGATCTCTTGAAAAAACAGCCAACAAATTTAACAATTAAAGGATGAGTTCACGAAAGGCAAAATGCAAATAACAGTCGAATCCCCCAAATGACTTTGAAATAAGAATGTTAAGACCTTTGAGAGGATAAAAGGAATAACATTCACAAAAAGAGAACAAGAGATTATAAAATAAAAATAGGAGGATATGAATCAAGAACTGATGGATATGGGGGGCGCCTGGGTGGCTCAGTCATTAAGCGTCTGCCTTCGGCTCAGGTCATGATCCCAGGGTCCTGGGATCAAGCCCCACATTGGGCTCCCTGGTTGGCAGGAAGCCTGCTTCTCCCTCTCCCGCTCCCCCTGCTCGTGTTCCCTCTCTCGCTGTGTCTCTCTGTCAAATAAAAAATTAAAAAAAAAAAAAAAAAGAACTGATGGTATGGGAAAAAGAAAGAAAAAAATATGAAAAAAACCACACACAGCTCAAGTTGTAGAGTGAGAGAAAAGAAAAGTCAGAAGAGATAATGCAAAGAAGCAATGGGAGAGGATTTTCCAGAATCAAAGGAAGATGTGAGTGTTCACATTGAAAGCATACATCAAGTATGGAGCGGAATGGATAAATTAACATCTATGCAACAAGATACTTGGCTTTGGGTACAAGTTCACAGCATTGACTGGAAGCAAATGGACCAGAAACTGACTAAAGTTATGGGTTGTATTGGCAGGGAAATTCCAACACTGGCCCAAGGGGCATTGCTCATTCTAGAAGGCAATCCTCAGGATCTATTGCACCTACAGGAGAGGTGGGGAAGACCTACGGTGATGGGGATGACCTGTGGTCTTGCTTTTTCCTGTTGTGATGAAGGAAGGCTGGAAGTACCCAGAGGTGAGTATATGATGTTCGACCCCCCACACAGCTGTGAGATGAAAGGCCAGGGCTGCATGGGTGTGTGTGTGGACAGACATGTGTTCCCATTGTGAAAGATCCAGAGGAGGCTGGTCTCATGCATCTCACTTATGACCACAGCCTTTGGTGCCCTGGGCCATGGATAAGAGATCATCTGCCTGTTTACCTCTTAGGGGAGCACCTGTCTGGCATTTCTATCTTCAACACTTTCTTCCATCACCTCAACAATTTTGCACAAGATGCTGTGGTGTAGGGTGTCAAATTAAGACTCAATATTATATGTTGCCTTGATGACTGGTAAGATTGGGGGAAACCTGGAATGTCCGAACCTCAGTCTCTCCTCAATCCCACTCTGCACCCACTGATAAAGTCTCTGAGCTAAACAACCCCTTTATCAAAGAACCAGGCACAGTTCTTGCTTACTCCTGAGTAGCCCATTTCAGTTCCCTGCAATTATGGACATGGGAACCAGGGGACACCCCACCCTCTTGATACTAAAAATCCATCCTCCCACAACCCTTGGTGGTTTGCTCTGTTTTCAAGTGCCACCACCACGTGCCACTGTGCGGTATGTGGTGTCCTCCTCAAGCTATGAGTGTATGTGACTGGTAAACTGCTGTTGATATCTGTCCAGTGTTGGGGGTTATGGGTTTGACCGTCCTCATACTCCAGGGCAGGAATCCCTCCTTCACCAACAGGATCTCCTCAAGAAGCACTTCTACCCCAGTCCCCTCTGATGGGGGTTCTGGGAGTGAGAACTGCTTGGGGCTGGGGGATGGAGGCCACATCCTAAAGAACCTTGGATTTGAACCTCAGCTCTGCTATTAACCGGCATTTGACCTCAGGCAAGCCCTGTATTTCTCTTATTGTCAATATTGGTTAAGGGTTAGTTGCAAAACCAGGAAACACTCTAGCTAGTTTAAGCAGAGAGTAATTTATTATTAGAAACTGGTATCCCACAAAATCTCTCAGAGAGCTGCCAGAGGCTGTAAACTGAGTTTCTGGGAAAATTTCCTCCTCTGAGTCACTCTGCCTTGGCATAGTTCAGGAAGCAACAACTGGAGAACCACACTGCCAACCACAGTCTGTGCCCTGCGCTCTGTGTCCCTCCCAACTAAGCTTTGGTTCAATGTTTTCGAGAGTGCAGTGGTTGGTGAAACCCAAATCACAGCCAGAACTCCAGCTCTGGGGATCATGGCAATGTAGCTTTTAGCTTTCCAACCTCTGTGCTGTTGAGAGGTATGCCAGAAAGAAAGAGGTTGAAATGGATGGTGAGTGAGTCAATCCACAGATTCTGCCTTAGCCTCTCCTCTCCACAAAAAAGTGGTTTGCTGGGGTCTCTGAGTGGGTTGGGAAGGAGTGTGGGCTTGCTGCCTAGAGTCAAGCACAAACCTGTTTCATAGAGTCCCTCTGGAGGTGATCTAAATAAGTGCTTTTCAACCCTATGGACCCAATGTCCTGCACCCTTTTAGTAACAAATCTTTTGTTACATCCCCTTAACTAATCTACATGTGTATTACCAGAAACAGGTCACTATCATGTACTAACAATAATGATAGAAATTAAGTGAAAGGAAAGTGAAATTTACAGTAAAATGATTTTCCAATCATTTAATGTGTTCCAATATTTAATGTGTTCCAATATTTAAATGCCCCACCAGGGCTACTCGGAGATGTGATGATGTTGTCAAGATCTTATGTTATATTGGGATGTGATGTCCACAAATGCAGATGGTTATAGTTACAACTCAAAGATTATGGAAGTGTTTCTCTTGCAGATATCATGTTGTAAGTGGTCAACAGCTCTTGATAAAGTTCTGAACGAAAGATAAACTTCCCTGAACTTAGATGGTGGTTGCGTTCCTGAAAAAAAAAAAAAAGTGGTTATTAAAACTGGACAAAGAATATTTTGTGCTTGTACATAATATGAGTTTAGCACCAGGCTCATATAAACAGATGTTTCACCTTCAAAATATCTGCAAGACATTAAAAAAAACTTTTATAATGAAAGTAAAATTCATATAACATAAATTTACTGTTGACCATCCTCAAGTGCACAATTCAGTGACATTTTGGCAGTCACAGTATTGTGCGACCATCACCTCTGTTTTGTCTGGAGACACCACCCCGAAAGGAAACCTGTCCCCCCATTAACCAGTTGCTACCCATTCCCCTCCCCTCCAAGCCCCTGGGAATGACTGGTCTGCTTTATGTCTCTATAGATTTACTTATTCTGGAAGTTTCATACAATAGATTCATAAAAGTGGGTGATCTTTTGTGTCTGGCTTTTCACTTAGTATAGTGTTTTCAAGGTTCGTCCACTTTCTAGCATGGATCAAGACCTCATTCCTTTTTATGGCTTAATAATATTCCATTGTATGGATGTACCAACACTGTGGAGATCAGGTCAGTCCTTCCCCAAATAGGTAAACATAGAATTACCATATGACCTAGCAATATTGCCCTAGGTGTGTATACACCCCAAATAATTGAAAACAGTATTTAAACAAATACTTATACATGAATGTTCTAGCAGCATGACTCACAGCTATGGGACATTTTGAAAGTTATGCAAGATGTTGACACTTGCTAGGTGTGAAAGATTTTCTGTGCAACATATGATGTCTGCCATCTTCAGCCCTCATCCACTAGAGGTGAGTACGTCTCCACAATCATTTTGAAACCCAAAAACACCTTTACAGGTTTTCCAAAGTCCTCTGGAGCTTTGCCACTGCCACTGAGATCATGGACGGGATCTCAGTGTCCTGTGAATAGAGAGGCTGAGGCCCAGAGAAGGCTATTTGTTCACACAGGGGGTCAGGTGAAGCCAGGTTAGAACTTGCCTCTCTCCAACCCAAGCTAATGGTTTTTCTGTGCTGAGCCTCCATCCATCCCATTGAACCCTAAGTTTGGGAAGAAAACACAGCAGGTCCCCAGTGCTGAAGCGTAGGCCTGATTGCATCCCCCAAACCTGATTCCCACCACCAGCGGGAGAGAGTGGAAGCTGCTCTCAGTAGAACATAATCTCCTCATTTTCTACAAGGTTCAAGAGGACAGGGACTTAGAGTTTTCATTACTTCTGAATTCCCCACACCTAGGAAAGTGCCTGGCACATAGTTGGTTTTAACATGTATTTGTTGAATGAATGAATGGATGTACAGCGTGCAGTCCTGTGGTCCAAAGACTCTCTTTCTCCTCCCTGGATGGAAAAGCAGAGGATTTGTCCCTAGTGTGAGCACATCCTTCAAGAATAACTTTGGACTCCATTCATCTGCATGCCCTGAGCACTCAACTTAGGGCCAGGTACGTAGTGGGTAATGCACACAGTGAATCAGTACATGCCTTTTGCACGTTCAGTTTCTGTCTGGGACAGAAGTCTGGCCAGGACATGTGGGATGATGGAAGGGAGGGAAAGGTGGGAAAGGTAATGGGATTTGTGTTCTTCCTCTCTCAGCATGAGAAGTGGAAAGAACAGAGGGCTCTGAGTCAGACAGATCATAGCTTGAATCATAGTCGTGCATTATTAGCACTCACATGCTAAGCCCATGACTTCACCTGTCTGAGCCTCCATTTCCGGGTATGTAAAATGGTCAATAATACTTGCTTTCTTCTATGGTGGTGGGCATTAAAGATGTTATGTTTCTGAGATGAGTACACAGTGATTGTAGACAATAATGGTACATATTTATTTTCCTTTAGGATGAGCTCCAGCTTCTCTACACCAGTGCACACTCCACCTCCGATTGAAAGTGTTACTAATTGCTATTGACGGTCAGGTGTAGGACTTTCTATTGGGCTTTATTCAGAAATTAAGGTAGCACACACAGGGGTGTGATGCTCCTTGATTTCATTTTTCAGGAGTTGTAACAAGAGTCTGCACTGAACTGTTCTAGTGGGGACCAGATATGACCGTCTTCCTCCCTCTTTGTCCTTTCTGGGTTCAGGAAGAAATTCAAAACCTGAATAAAGCCATAATCATTAAAGAATTCGAAGTGGTAATTAAATTTCTCCCTTCGTAAAATGAAATAGGTTGAAATATTTCAATTTGGTGATTAAATTTCTCTCTTCAAATATGGAAATGATAGGTGGCAGATTAATTTTTTACCAAACTTATAAGAAAGAGACAATTTCTATCCCAAGCTATTTCAGAGACTAGAACAAAGAAAGCATGGATAGAAACTTTGTGGCTTTTATTTTTTATATCATGTGTTTGATATTATAGTTAGAGTTTGAGAAGAAAATTATAGACTCGTTTTATTCTTTTTTTTTTTAAAGATTTTATTTATTTATTTGACAGAGAGAGACAGCGAGAGAGGGAACACAAGCAGGGGGAGTGGGAGAGGGAGAAGCAGGCTTCCCGCGGAGCAGGGAGCCCAATGTGGGGCTCGATCCCAGGACCCTGGGATCATGACCCAAGGTGAAGGCAGACGTTTAACGATTGAGCCACCCAGGCACTCCCTAGACTTGTTTTTTTCTTATGAAGATATGATGGGAAAACCCTAATTAAAATGTCAGGAAATTGTTGATGTTGAGTTCCCTCAAGTCGATGACTGCCCTATGGTTATGTAGAAGAATGCCCTTATTCATGGAGAATACATCCTGAAGTACTCATGGCTAAATCTGATTTATACAACTTACTCTCAAGGGACAATACAGAACATTATGTTCTCTCGCTCACACAGGGAGGAAAGAGAATAATAAAACAAATGCGGCAAAACGTTAACATTTAGTGGATTTGTGTGAAAGGAATATGACAGTTCTTTGTTCTGTTCTTCCAGTTTTCTCTATGCATTTGAAATTATTTCAAAGTGACAAGTATAGTAAGTGTTAGGATATTGAGTGCGTTAAAAAGAAATCCCTCATAAATAAGTAGGGTACATCCCAGGAATGCAAGGGTAGTTCAAGAACAGAAAATCTCTCAGTGTGATCAAGCAAATTAAAAGTTTGAAGAAGAGAAGTCAAATGAGTCTTTACATCGATTTATAAAAATCATTCTGTATTGTTCTATGTTCATTCATGATAAGAATACACACTATGAGGGCGCCTGGGTGGCTCAGTTGGTTAAGCGACTGCCTTCGGCTCAGGTCATGATCCTGGAGTCCCGGGATCGAGTCCCGCATCGGGCTCCCTGCTCAGCAGGGAGTCTGCTTCTCCCTCTGACCCTCCTCCCTCTCATGCTCTCGGTCTCTCATTCTCTCGGTCTCAAATAAATAAATAAAATCTTTAAAAAAAAAAAAAAGAATACACACTATGCTAGGAACAGAAGCGAACATTTTTAACGTGGCAAAGGGTATTTACCAAATACCTACAGCAAATATTATACTCAGTGGTGAAACTAGAGAAGCAGCATCCTTAAAGACAGTATAAGGCCAAGATGCCCTCGATGGCCACTCTCATTCAAAATCATATTCGTGATCTTAGACCAATGCAATTAAATAAGACATAAAAATGAAGACGTGTATCTATGTGGTTGCCGGGGGAGGGGGGATGGGCAAGATGGGTGAAGAGTGGAAAGTACAGGTTTCCAGTGATGGAAACGAGAAACCATTAAAGCTCATGAGAAAATACACCGAGAGTGCGATGACACGTCAGTATTACAAAAAAATTAATTGCATACTTACACACCAGAAACAACTAAATATGTGAAAAGGGGAAAAAATCCTATGTTCACAGTAATCGTAAAATTGGTAACTACCTAAAAATAAACCAAGGCAAAGTTTGCAAAAATTATATGAAGATAATAAAACGTTTTTTTTTTTTTTTCCAGATGATAAACTTTATCGAATGACTTGAAGAGGCCTTGGATAGACTGATGCTCATTGTTTTTTCATTTGGGAAGACTTACTGTGGTAAATATTTTGGCTGCCCCCAGTCATTTAGAGCTTTGATGTAACTATAATGAAAATCTCAACAGATTTTTTTAAGGACCTGGAAATATTGATTCTAGAGTTTATGTGGTAGAGTAAAAGTGCAAGAGAGGCCAGAACAATTCTGAATAAGTGAAACAGGAAAAAAGTATGCCGCAAAGCACCAAGATATATAAAACATATGTGTTAATTAAAGGAGGACCAGGGCGCCTGGGTGGCTCAATTGGTTAAGCGACTGCCCTCGGCTCAGGTCATGATCCTGGGGTCCCGGGATCGAGTCCCGCCACGTCGGGCTCCCTGCTCAGTGGGGAGTCTGCTTCTCCCTCTGACCCCTCCCCTCTCATGCTCCCTCTCACTCTCTTTCTCTCTCAAATAAATAAAATCTTTTAAAAAAATAAATAAAAAAATAAAAGAGGACGGGGGTGCCTGGGTGGCTCAGTCGGTTAAGTGGCTGCCTTCGGCTCAGGTCATGATCCTGGGGTCCTGGGATAGAGCCCCACATCCGGCTCCCTGCTCGGCAGAGAGCCTGTTTCTCCCTCTCCCTCTGCCTGCCACTCTGCCTACTTGTGCTCTCTCTCTATCTCTCTGTCAAATAAATAAATAAAATCTTTAAAAAATAAATAAAAAAATAAAAATAAAAGAGGACCAAAGAAGACTGGTTTGAGTGTGGACAGACTGAGAACACCTAACAGAGTGCAGAAACAGTCTGTCTATAAGTGAAAACCTGGCACAAAACAGATGTGGTTTTATAAATTAACAGGAGATCAATGAGATGGCGGGGGGACAACTGGCATTCCATATTGGAAAAAATTGAAACAAGATCCCTAGTTCAAACCTTTCACAAAAAATAAATTCCAGGTGGATTCATGATGAAATGTGGAAAACAAAACTTTTAAAAAGGTTTAAAGAAAATATAGGGGATTGTTCTCAGGTGAGGATGGTCTGCTTAAAATTGCCATAAAAAGTAAAATCCATAAAAGAAAGGGAGGGTGAAATTGACCGCATCAAAATAAAAAATATATATCCTTTTTTTTTTTTTAAAGATTTATTTATTTATTTATTTGACAGAGAGAGACATAGTGAGAGAGGGAACACAAGCAGGGGGAGGGGGAGAGGGAGAAGCAGGCTTCCCGCCGAGCAGGGAGCCCGATGCGGGGCTCGATCCCAGGACCCTGGGATCATGACCTGAGCTGAAGGCAGACGCTTAACGACTGAGCCACCCAGGTGCCCCCCAAAATATATATCCTTTTTAAAAGATGACACAAAGGACAAATTTATGCTACTCGATGCTTCTCTCTGGAGCTCATTCACCATTTGTACACGGGGCCCAACATCAGCTGCACAAACTACAGAGGTGACCCTCCCAGGGGTTCTCTGCTCTGACCCCCAGCTTTGGATGGATAGCATCAGCCTGTAGGCAGCCCTCTGTCAACCTCATCCAGAGTGTTCCCTCCTCCCCTCACGTTATATGGGAGGCCAACTCTGAGCCTTATTTTTGCTGTTTGTAAAATCAGATGACTGTAGCATCTACTCAATACAATGTCATGAAGTTTGAAAGTGATCAATCAGGCAAAGAACTCGATGTCGGGCCTGGCAGGTAACAGGTGCTCAGTAACTATTAGCTGTAACTATCTAAAGGAGCATATTTATTAAGGGGTGTGTGTGTGTCAAGATTTAAAAGCAGGTCAGTCTAACTCCAAAGTCTGTGATCTTTTAACGGAAGTCCCTGGAATCAAGCAGGAGGAGTTGGAAGTTGGTTGTTTGGGGGATGTTTCCCTGGAGCCTGGGGTCCGCATCTCCTTGCTCTGGAGTTTCACGGCTCCTTTTCGCTCTAGTGTAGCTGACAATCGCCTCGTCTCCAATGCTTGCTTTTCTCCCCAGCATCTTACATTGTAAAATAAACACGCATTCGGAAAAACACACAAAATAAGAGGACAACGTAAGGGGTAATTACAAGGCAAACATAAGCGTCACCACCACCACCGCCAAGACCATATCCGTTTTCAATCTGGTTTCTCAAGCCCCCAAACCACTTCTTTATGGACGGGTCACAAAGCTTCTTTTCTGCCAGTCACAGAGTAAACAGATGCCTTCCTTTTGGGAGGTAGCCAGGCCTGTGGGAGAAGTGGTAGAAACTCCTGGTCTGAAATATGACATTGTCACAAATCATTTCTAGCGTGGTGAGGTCTCAGATGCTCCGGCCATGGACGCTCCCCAGCTTCTACTTCCGATTCAGACATTGCCTGCCCCTGCCCCCAGCCCCTCTCACTGTCCTCCCCCTTGGGGTCTCTAGCCCTCCTTTGTACTGATTTATTTTCTGAGGGGAACAACCCTCCTCAGTCTCCCCAGCACTGCAGGGAAGGATCCAACCTGGATAAAGAGCAAAAACTCAAGACAAGGGAAAGCATTGAAGACCCAGCTTGCTCTGGATGCCTGGACATGGTGACTCTGCCATGTTCTCATCCCTCCTCAGCCTCTCTCTGTCCCACATCTGCATGTTTTTTATTTTTCTTTCCGAACCTCCCACTCCCATACCTGCATCTAGCCAGTCCCCTGGGGCTTCCGGCCTTAGGGTTCTTCACTTCGGGGGGGGGGGGGAAAGGAAAACTAGGGAGGACTGGAGATGAACGGATGGCTGCTGGTGGCCTCTTCCTGGGTTCGTTCACTCAGTCATTCATTTACTCAGTGGTTCATTCATTCATTCAGTTGTCCTGACATGTCAGGCTTTGGGCTAAGCGGTGGGTATACAACAAAGAACCATATAGACACTGTTTGTAAACTCATGGAATTTACTACCTACATTTATTGAGACCTACTGACTATCAGTACTAATAAAAAGCAAAATGGACACAAGTTTTTTTCCCTCCAGGAGATCGTAGTCTCCAGGAGATCATAGTGGAGACATACAAATCAATAGGCAAAGAGGTAGATAAAATGAGGCACAGAGAGGGGCATCTAACACAGAAAGGGAGAGTCAGAGAACCCCTAGTACCCCAACACCAATGGATGGCAAGGCAGATGGTATCTGTGAGTGAAAGAAAGTCCATCAGACAGAGGCATGGGCTTGAGTCTCAGGGCCAAGAGGAACCAGAGATGAGGTACAACCACCTCCCTGAAGAAGAAACAGCCACAATCTTCTCCTGCATTCTTTTCCCACCTTAAACCTTGGGAGACCAGCCTGTGAACAGAGCCAAGAAGGCTCTTGAGAACAGCAGAGGCCATTAGCAGTGGGGTGGGCCATCCTCAGCCTGTGTTGGGGGTCTTGAGCGACATAAGTTCTAGATGAGATTTTCATCTTCTCCTAGTTCAATTTTCTCACAAATATGTGGAGAAATTGAGGCTCCCAGAGCCACCATGTCCTGACCAAGGTCACACAGTGGGTCAGTGACAAAAGCTCTAGAATCTGGAAGTAAATTAGGTTGACAGTTAACTGGACTGAGTAAGATCTTCCAATATATAATAATCTCAGTTGGTGGAAGACCTGGTATCTTTCTGTGAGCTCCAGTGTGTGTGTGTGTGTGTGTGTGTTGCCAAGATTTGAATCCAGATTGGGTTAACTCTGATGTTCATGCATTTATCCACTACACTCTACTGCCTCTATGTTTCCTATAAATTATGCCCCAGGGCCTGGCATAGTGCCTTGCTCATAGTAGACACCCAGCACATTTTTTTGAGTGAGTGGATGAATAAGTGTCCTTAAGACTCAATAATCTTACAGGATACAGGATATAGGAGGAGATGACAGGAGATGGATGGAGAAGTAAAAATCTGGACTCTGGATCAGGCCAGGAAGGGTGTGGCCAAATAGAACAAGCTCTGGTGACTAAATTCAGAGAAACCACATCTCACATGTGTAACTAATTTACCTGTGACTATGGATGGGTCACCTCCCTATGGGATTCTGTTTTCTCTGTAGAGCAGATTGGCTTCAATCTATTCTGAAATACATTTCAGTGCAAACAGTCTATGATTTTAAGATCAGGACCAGTTGTAATCAGCTTACAGATGACAGATATCTGGTTCTGTCCCACCCTCTGTGCTCACTGATCACTAATCAAGCACAATGCTGTCTTATGAGTTCTTCTCAAAGTTCAAGAGCCATTACCAACCGCTCAGTGACAGACTCTTTTAAGATTGTGTGCATCAGGGCGCCTGGGTGGCTCAGTTGGTTAAGCGACTGCCTTCGGCTCAGGTCATGATCCTGGAGTCCCGGGATCGAGTCCCGCATCGGGCTCCCTGCTCAGCAGGGAGTCTGCTTCTCCCTCTGATCCTCCCCCCTCTCATGCTCTCTCTCTCTGTCTCATTCTCTCTCTCTCAAAAAAAAAAAAAAAGATTGTGTGCATCAACAGAGCTACTATTCAGAAGAAAATATTAGACAATTCCAAACTCCAAACCTCATGAAGGTGTGTGCATGAATTTATTAGAAGACAGGGAGAGGGAAAGGGTTGCAGGTCAGCAGGAAGAGTTAGTGCCTCTGACCCTCTCCTTCTGGGTGGTTATGGTGAAAACTAGAAATCAAGCCAAGGTCATGGCTACCCCAACAACCTATAAAAAATGGCAGAAACCAGAATAGAGATATCAATCTGCATTTCCTGTGTGAAAACTATAAGGTACACACTAGGTTAGTAAATCATGCTGATCTCCTTCCTTTTCTACCTCCACCAATATATAACCCGTGTGTCTTCTTTTTGCAAGGAATGATTCTTGCTTAGCTGTCTGATTGGAGAGGATCCTAAAATTAAATTCACATGGAAGCACCACTGATTGATAATTGATTCTCATTCACAGGAGGAAAAATAATACCAAATAAGACAGTTATTGTTAGGTACCTATTGACTGAAACTAGTTCTCTTTTGACTTCTTTTAAAATAAACAATGATGCTGAATGTTCAGGACATGAATATACCCAATAATTGCTCAAAATGTTGTTCTGCTTAATTTACTAACAGGGTAGCAGAAAAATGCACATCATTTAGATTTCCCAGATGGAGATAGATCTCTCTCTCTTTCTCTCTGTGTTTATATACATATATAATACATATATACTTATTATTATATGCATTCCAAATAGTAATTCTGGAAATAAAAAATGAATGGAGAATAAAAATAGAAGGTCTGACAATTAGCCAATGGAAGCTCCAGAAGGAGAATGAAGAAGATGGCAGAGAAGCAACATTCAAATAGATAAATGGAAGAAAAATCTCAGAATTAAAAAAAGACATGCATCTTTAGATTAAAAGTGCACATTTAGGACTGAGCAGAACACATAAAAGGCAAACATGACTTGGTAAGACTTCTGACTATGGCTACTAACTTGTGCTCTTATTGAAGCAAATGGACCAGGAGTCAACTAAATAAACACAAACCTCACCAGCAATGGTCACTGATGGCTCATGCCAAAATGGATATCCTACTGTGCCCTTATTTTTTAAAAATTTTTATTTAAATTCAATTTAATTAACATATAGTGTAGTATTAGTTTCAGAGGTAGAGTTTAGTGATTCATCAGTTGCATATAACACCCAGTGCTCATTCCACCACGTGCCCTCCTTAATGCCCATCACCCACTTACCCCTTCCTCCCCACCCACACCCACCTCCCCTCCAGCAACCCTCAGTTTTTTTCCCTAGAGTTAAGAGTCTCTTATGGTTTGCCTTCCTCTCTGTTTTTGTCTTATTTTATCCTTCCCTTCCCTGCTGTTCATCTGCTTTGTTTCTTAAGTTCCATATAGGAGTGAAATCATCTGATATTTGTCTTTCTCTGACTATTTCTCTTGCACCCTTATGAAGTGAATTCCTCAAAAAAGGTGCAGACCCTCCTCCCCCAAAATGACACCCTCTGCAATGCTTCCCTTAGTTATGGCCATGGGAGGCATTGGGCAAGGGAGAGGCTCCCAGATTGCAGAGCTGGATCAGCCAGATTCACTGAACAAGAAAGTCACTCTGCCACCAGGTAGGAACTCCTAACACCTCTGTCTTCTGGGATACACAACATGCATTACGGGCCAGTGACCACCTGTATGTTGCTTCCCATGTTTCTCTTTTGCAAATAGGAGTTTTCAGGACAGTTATTCTGTTCTCATCCTACCTTTTTATGTTGGGTACATTCAAAGTGGTTACACTTATTTAAAATTATTATATTTACTTCACTGGTAAAGCCTACGGAGAGCCTTCCCTGGACTTCACTGAGAGAACTGCTTTCATCCAGATTCCGGAGTTGGAGATGAATGGGGTGCTAGAAGAGACATTTTGTTGTCGTTCTTGGGAGAGAGACTGAGTGCACTTTATGTGAGTGTTGGTGATTTGGGGAGGGTTTGGATGTGAATTTACGATGACGTTGATTTCAGTAGCCATAAGGGATAGACCTTAGAGATCACTGTTGTCTTTACCACTGGGCACCCTTTCACCCTTCTGGTATCTATGACCTAATTTCCCCTGAAGAATCACTCCCTCTCCCACTTCTGAAAATCAAATTGCATTCGGGGCTTCATCCAGTGAGGAACACAGTGACTTTGGCATAAATCAATCTGTACATCCATGTCCCTGGCCCCAATCATTGGTTCAAAGGTTTGGTTCTAGTCAATTCTAGTCGGTTGGGTTACCCAGAAGAAGAGTTTAGACTTTCTTCCTGGACCTGGATTTGAGAAGATGGAAGGAGTGCGACAGTCACCTGACAAATACCAGGAGGGAGCCTCCCAGTGAAGGGCAGTGGAGTGGAGAGAATCTTCTGGGAACTATCATTTGAACCCTTGATCACACTGCACCTGAAAATAACACCTGTTCTTGGTTTATTCAGTTTTTCCTGGGCCAGTAAATCCTACTTTTTCCTATGCCTGTGTGAATTAGATTTTCCTCTCAAGTGCAATGAGTTCTGACACAGTCTTCCATCACACTCAGAACTTGGCCATGCAAGCTGGCGGTTTCCTCATTCCAGCGAGATCCCCCATTCAAATGTTTTCCATTTCTCCCCCGCCTCTTCCTGTTCTTTGAGGCCTCAGGGTCCTCCCTGGAGCAGATAAGCCATTATCATTGCTCTGAGCCAGAACTGTGGGTGTCTGGCTGAGCTTCCTAACTATGTAGCATCAGCTCAGAAAAGCCTAGCCAGTTCTGGAAAGGGAAGGAAGGAAAGCAGATGTCACAAGGCTGGGAATGGGCCATCACAACCACTGCATCTGACCCCACTATGAAACCCTTTGTGGTGATTCCCAACCTTGAAATCCCGGTGCCGGAGGCTGTGGAAGTTGCCAATAATGGTTGCAAAGTCGTGGAAGAGGCTCTGGCTAGAGGCAGGTGGCTCATTCTCCGTGCCCCATAGCCCCTGCTGGTTCAGCGGACTGCCTGCTTCTGCTGGTGGTGTTTCTGAGCATCCAGAAGTTTCTGTTTCGTCTCCCACTCTGTGGCTCTTCTTTTCTGCCTATGTCTAACTGCTTTTAAATCCGTGTTTCTCTCTCTCTCGTTATCGCTTCACCCTGTCCCGATTCCAGATCTGTCCCCTTCCTTCTCAGTCTGGATCATTCACTGGTTTGCTCTGTCTTTTTCTTTCATGATCTTTGTCTGACTTAGTGTCTTTGCCGCTAACTCTCAGTCTGTGTTATTCTGTTCTTGCACCATAATGCTGTTCTCTGACTTTCTCCCGTCTCTGGTACTCTCTGCTGCTCTCTGTTTCTCCAGCTCTCTGAGTCTCTGACCTTCCCTGAGTTGAACCCCTGGCTTTGAGCTCTGTACTTGTTCTCAGGCACTGTTTCCCCTTTAGCCAGATAACTGGCTGATTTCACTCCTCCTTCCCCAGAGTCCTGAGTGTCCCCTTGAACTTTGAGGTTGGCCGTCAACTCCCTCTCATTCTGGGAAGTATGTCCTAATGTTCCGGGTTAAGAACAGTGATTTAGCCTCAATGATCCCCCGAATCTTTGGTCTGCCTTTTCAGAATCTGGCTTCTTCTTCCCCAAATGCCACGCCCTCAACTACCGGAGTGACTAGAATTGCTGGAGAGACAGGAATATCAACATCATACTTGTGACTGCAAATATGAGCATCCCCTGACATTCTAGGCTTAGGTGATTCGATTCTGATTGAGCAAAGAGGGACTGGGAAGGCCCGAGGCTGAGGTCATAGAATCTCAGAGCCCGAAAGGGTGGACTGGGGGGTACAGAAGAAACTGCCCTTTCTCTCCTGGCTTTGCAAACCTCAGTCTGTCATCCCATGGTCAGCTGGTCAGTCAGCAAACCCACCACCCCGCTACCCAGTCCCTCAGTGTCCCAGGCAGCCTGCCAGCCAGATGTGCTCTAGTACTGACTGGTGGCCCGTTCTGCTTCCAGGAGTGCATAGAGCCGGCCCTGGGACTAAGGTGGGTGGCAGGGATGATGTCCACCACCCCAGGCAATTGGAGTGCTTGGTGGGTGTTAGGACTTCTGGTTTCTAGCCTGTGGCTTTGTTCTTTCCAGATGAGGTGAAGCCTGGAGAGTTTTCAGTGGTGCCTTTCCAGGAAGGGAGCTCATCATCCCAAACTTCGAAGAAAGGGTGGTCAGGGCCAAGGATATTCAGGTGCCACAAGGAACATGCAGGAAAGCAATGTACTCCTCCCCTACGTCAGGAGGAATGCTGCAAGGAGGAGGTCTGGTTTAGGTCATCTAACTTCTTCTAATCGATGCTCCCAGTGGTCTCAGGATCCTGGTACCCCAGGCCCACGGGCAGGGGGCTGCCCAACACCTCACCCCTCAGCAGGGCTTCTGCCTATTCTCTCTGCCTTTCTGCATCACTCTTGCTTGCCATTTTAGAGCCTCAAGGATCCTCTGGGCAGTGCTTCTATCTCGGGCATCTCCAGACTGGGGCTGGGAGTGAAGGCACCAGAATGAGGCAGCACGTCGCTGAATTCTGAAGACTCACTATGCTGCTGACTTGCTACGATATTATCTTAGGCAAGTGGGCTTACTTCTCTGAGGTTCCCTTTTCTTCTAAGATGGGCTGTGACAGTACTTGTTTCCCTGTGAGACTCTGTATGCATCGTGTCTATTTCTAGAATTCTTCTCCAGGAAGGTTGGTCTCTCTGGCTCCTGAGTATGGTGCGGGTGGGAGTGGGGTGCTTCTAAGGCCAAATCCTGGCCGAAGTTCTAGATCTGCCGCCTCTAGGGATCATCTGTTCCAATGCTCTGATCTTACAAATGTGGAAATTTGAGGCCCAGGACAAGCAGAGTTCCTGCATTGAGTGAAGGATTCCAGCTGCGTCTCCTGAGGACCACAGGGCCCTGGGGGCCAGAAGTGATGCTGTCCAGTGGGGGTCCTCCATCATCTTCAGGCCCGCTGCTCTGTTTGGGCCACTGAGATGCTCTCTACAGACCTCAGGCCTGGACATGAAGAAGCCTCCAGCTGCAGTTCCCCCAATATCCTGCTACCGCGTGGCAGGCTGCAGGGAGAACTTCCCGGAGACTCATCTGTAAAACAGGACAGCATTGGTACCTACTCAGTACCACGGGAAAATTAAATGTGATAAAGTATGCAGAGCACTTAACCCTGTGACTCCCTCCATAAATGCTTCCCAGTAAATGTTTGGGATGGTGACTGCAACTGCCTGAAGTAATACAGCTCTTAAGTGGGGAAGCCAGGATCAGTCCCCATTGTGACTGATTTCGGAGTCTGTAACGTTTGCAGGAGACCATACTATACTCCATGCGCAGAGCTGGAGTCTAGTGATGCAGGGAAATGTTTTCCCAGGCTGCTTCTAGCTCTGCTCCAGAATTTAAAAATTCGGGTTTTCTTTCCCTCCATGCCTTCCACAAGTAGTCTTGCTCACGGTGACTTCATGTCCAACACCTGTTTCCTTTTTTGTCTTCCCAGACCCATAAGCATTTCCTCATGGCAAACCACAACCTCTGATTCATCGGCCTCACAGAAAACGGTGTCTTCTCCTAGGGAGACATTCAGCCTTTGAAGGAATAAATTGTAGAGCCCTGACTTATACAGCAACCACCTCTTCAATGGGTAGGTAGGAAGACACGTGAGATCTATCCTTGTTGGTTATTTCCATCCATCTTGGATGGATGGCCATTTTTCACGTTTGCCTGGATTCTGCTTAACTTGGGAGGTCCCCACCCATTCACATCTGAGCCTAAAAGAACAGTTCATTTCCCCCAGTTGTGTCAGGAATCCAACAAGTGGCTGGGGAAGGAAATTCAAACATTGTAAAACTCAAATGTTCTTGGGTGGAAGTGGCCAGGTCATCTTTTCTCTCTGAGGTGTGGGGAGATCTGGCTGCCACCTCTGTCACCCGTGGATCTCCTGAGGTGACCGAAATGACCCGCCCTGCCCTTGTTCTAATTCCTTCTCAGTCTGCTCTTTCTGTCCCAGCTCAGTAGTATTCTTCCCCGATATGCTCACCACCCCATCGGGCTGTTTCTCCAGCCCTCCTGGTTTCTGCCTCTCCATTCCCCTTCAGTCATTATTGCATATGGTGTGTGTTCTGTTCAAGGGAGTATTTCAAGTTAAGTTATAAAGACAACTGCAGAAGTCAGAAAATGGGCTGAGACTCCTGGGGTGTGTTTATGACCTGGAAGGAAGCAGGGTGACATTGCTTCTTACAGAGTCATGGTATCAGCTTGGGACAGATGGAGGAACTGAGTCACAGAGAGAGCCAGTGGCTGCCTTATCCATACAGGAATGAGCCATGAGAAACTGGTCTCCTGACTTCTGGATTCTGAAAGTGTTTTGGTTTTGGTTTTTGGTTTTGAGACTAAGAAAGATAATGAATTTTAACGAAAGGCAAAGATGCTGTTTGAATCAGTATGGGGAGCTCGGGGTAGGGTTTTTGTTGTTTTTACCTCTGGTTGACCGGTGCTCTCCCGGGTCACACTTGAGCCATGCTGGGTGAGGAACAGACATTTCCTGTGCAAAAGGACTGCGCCTCTCACTTCCCCCATGAGACCCTGCAGGGTTGGCTACCTACGTTGTAGGGCCCAGGGCAACGTGAGCATGTGGGCCCTTTTTCAAAAGCAGGGGAAATGTGCCATTAAAGGCATTGAAATACCCCTAACGGACCAAAAACCCCACTTTCCCCCTTCTTCTGTGATTGGTCTTGGTAGTTTTTATTTGTCATGTCATATTGTCGCCCCTCAGGGATTTGCACAGGAAGAGGGCAGAACCTCACAGGCGCCCTGGGTCCCTGCGGCACTAGCATGTCGGTGGGCAGGACCCACCAGCCACAAGGCCCCCTGCCCACTGGCTACCCCGGTGCTAACAACAAGGAGCAAACTTCCAAGCACCAGTTGGAAGCCAGTAGCGAGGGGTGGCATATGGGATGATGTAGTCTCAGGGCAGTGGTGCAACTGGAGTTGAAGAAATGATGTTGGGAATGCAGAGGGAAGGGGCTTGGATTGGCCAGGGTTCTGTGGAGAGACAGAAGCAATATAATATATGCATATATTAACATGTATAATATTGCATAATATACACATAATATACATGATGCTATTATATGATAGATAGATGATAGATAGAGGGGGGAAGAGAGAAAGAGAGCGAGAGAAGGAGACATTTCATTTCAAGGAATTGGCTTATGTAATCCTGAGGCCTGGCAAGTATGAAACCCCCAAGGCAGGCTAGAAGTTCAAGAGCTCAGGTTGCAGTCTTGCCCCTGAACTCTGCAGAGCAGCAGGCTGGAGAGTCAGGCAAGCTTTCTAGGTTTCAGTCTTAGGGAATACTTTCTTCGGGAAACCTGTTTTTGCTCTTAAGGCCTTCAACTGATTGGATGGGGCCCACCCACTCTATGAATCGGCTGCATTCAAAGGCTACTGATTTAAAGATTTAATCACATCTAAAAAACGCCTTCAGAGCGATACCTAGACTGGTGTTTGACCAAACAACAGGGCAAATTAATCACAACAAAGGTCTACATTGTTTTAATACAAACGTTATAAAGCCTTGGCGCTCCGAGTCACAACATGGCTGCCATCTTTCCTTCCCCCGGGAGATCTGAAACTAGTCACATCGGACCATAAGGAACATGAAGGGCTGGTTTCTGGACCCGTGGAGGAAGAAATGATGCCTGGACACAGAGGAAACTTCACGTGCTCTCACTGGACAACAAGCCAATATACCGGCACCCCCTCTCACTATTCCAAATCTTCCTGGATAAATCACTGTGCCTGTCATGGGCGTAGTGAATTTTGTCATATATATATTACATTTATTACATATTATATTATATATATATAATATAATCAATCACATATATATATTACATATTATATTATATATAACAAAATATAATTAAATATATATCTAAAATTAAAATTTAATTTATTATTAATTATATTAAAGTATAATTAAAATATGTATTACAAATATATCTATTTAATTACTATTACACATTATAGATAATTAATTAGTATTACAAATATATATATATTTAAGTTTTTTTTTTAATTTTTAAGTAATCCCTACACCCAATGTGGAACTTGAACTCATAACCCCGAGATCAAGAGTTGCATGCTTCACTGACTGAGCCAGCCAGGGTCCCCTATAATATATTTTTTAATCACATTGTTTATATAGATAGAGGGCCCTCAAGAAATATTTGCCCGGGCCCCCAGGTGTCCTAGAAGCAGCTCTGTCCTGAAGGCTCAGCTGGGCATTTAATGGGGCAGAGCAGGCAAGGTCCAGGCCCAAGGTCAGGGGCTGTCATTCAAGCCCACCAGCATCCTGTGTGCCCAGTGTGCTGACTACAATGAGAACCATGTCTGCCCTTCTGAGTGGACTAGACCTGTGCTGAGTGCTTGCCAAAACCCCCCCACAGCAGCCATGTGATGTAGGAGAAACCAATACTACCCTGAGGAAGCAGGCTCAGAGAGGTTCAGCGACTCTCTTCCAGCCCAGGGAACTCTGACCCAACATGTTTAGGTTCTTAATGACTGTGTGGTATTGACTCCATGTGTCTTCTTCACCGCAGCCTCAGGGCTCAGCACAGCACCTGGCAGGAAGTAAGAATTCATGAACTGAATGAATGAATCCGTAGTATTTAGGAGCCGCAACAGAGGGTGTGTGACGCAGGCTCCGTGAATTGTCTCAGGTTGAGATCCGGGGTTAGGAGGGGAAGTGTTCGCCACCAAACAGGTTCTGAGGATCAGCATGGGAGTAACTGGCTTTGGTAAAATCGCAGTCTGGTGCTGTATAACTAAGTCCTTATGCAACCCTGGGCTTGTACCTGCTCCTGAGGGCCTTAGTCCCTTGCTGCAAGCTGGAGGTTTGGTCAGCAAACGTTTTCTGTGAAGGACCAGAGAGTAAATATTTTAGGCTTTGCAGTAAGTTTAAGTCTCTGCTGTAACTACTCTGCCATTTGTAGTGGGGAAGTAGCCGCAGAAATACATACATGAATGAATATATGGCTGTGTTCCAATAAAACTTTATTTAGAAAAACAGGCAGCGGTCTGGATTTGCTCGGGGGGCTGTAGTTGGCTGACCCCTGGTCTAGATGACCTCTGAGATCCCTTTTAATTGTAACAGTCTATGATTTAAAGACTTAGAACCTATGGTACAAAGGACAGAAATGATCACACAATGTCATTATCCTCCTATGGCGCCCATGGCAGACATTACTAATTGATCACAGGACTCCTTTCTGAGCGGAAAGGAGTTGGCTTTTATAATCAATCACAGATGGAGAATTCCAGCTGGAGCATTCCCCCTTTCACCCTTTAAGACGCAAACATTTATAAGACTCCAGACACTCTCTTGAGTGTGGCATTGAGGAAGATAGGAAGCAGCAGAGAGTGAGAAATGTGACAGATTCTCCCACTCTCATATCCCCATGCGAGAGGAATCAAATTCACGGTGGAAGTGAAAGCCCAAATCCAGGGTGTCTGAGCTGATGATGCTATTACCCATGGGTGGAAGTCAGACCCTCCATCTCTCTCTTACTTGCCCTACTGAGCTCGAGCTAGGAGCGGACACCTGGCGCTTACTAGTTACCCAGTGCGCACTAATTTTCTTCCTTTTCTTTTCCCACCAGAATGTAAACGTTGAGGGACTTCTGCATAGCGGGATCTGCTGACAGTTGACTGTTGGAGAATACTTTACGAATTAGTTCCCGTGGAGCCGTTGTTGCATGATAATGCCCGGATCTTTCGTGTCTATTTGAATTTCCACAAACCTTCACCTTGAGGAATGAATGGGGAAGTCCCAAGCATCTAGAAGTCACACGATGTAAGGGCTTGGGCTGAGCAGTTAGACAAGTTTGGGTTGAATTTTAGACACGATGATCACTGTCTTGATAATTAGAAGCAATCTCTGCAGATGGGGTAACACATGGAGTAAGTTTAATATATGGCAGCCATATATTAAATATAAGTAACTGGGTGATGAGCATTAAGGAGGGCACTTGATGTAATGAGCACTGGGTGTTATAGGCAAAAGATGAACCACTAAATTCTGGGTTTTTCTTGGGAGCTCTGTAGGGGATTTTGGCGTAGGAAGCATCCCTCTGGCATCTCTAATTACACACTAATAGCTACATGTTGATTCTGGTGGCCTGGAAGCCCTTTGCCCCTTTGTCTCAGATTCATTTCAATGTTCTTCAGTTGTAAAGGATAGAATTCATTTGTTCTTTGTCCAGCTCTTCCAGACCCTCAATCTCACAACTCTCTGAGAGGGGCTGATTTGTAGTATCCTCCCATTGCACAGTTGGGAAAACTGAGCTCCAAAGAAATTTGCTGTGGGCAGAGTTCTTCTTCTGCACCTTTTAATTTGATAACTGTTTTTAAAATTTAATTTAATTTTTAATTTTTTTAAAGTAACCTCTACACCTGTTGTGGGGCTTGAACTCATGACCCCAAGATCAGGAATTGCATGCTCCACTGACTGAGCTGGCCAGGCACCTCTATTTGACAATTGTTTAGTGAGCACTTTCCATGTATCAGGTATGGACTAGGCACTGGAGATAGAATGGTGTCAATATTTCAGGGAAATAAATATCTGTTAGTTGACTGATATGTCATCTGAACTTTTGAGAGGGAAATTGCATTGAGCAATCAGTAGAGAGTTTCACAGTTCCCTAGAGTCCAGGAATGTGAGAATTAGGGGGGCCTTGCACAAGGTCTTAGCTGAGAGTTCACGTCTGTGGTTTTAGCTCCACATCTGCATAGCTTCCTTGCAGTTGGCCTCTTCTTGCCTTCTCCTTCCACCAGGCTAATGGGCTTGGGGCCTCCACGACATTCACGGTTCACATGGACACATGAGATAGCCTCCTTTTTTTTTTAAATTTAAATTCAATTTAATTAACATATGCTGTATTAATAGTTCCAGAGGTAGAATTTAGTGGTTCATCTTTTGCCTATAACACCCAGTGCTCATTACATCAAGTGCCCTCCTTAATGCTCATCACCCAGTTACCCCATCTCGCCACCCACCTCTCCTCCAGCAAACCTCAGTTTGTTTCCTAGAGTTAAGAATCTTTTATGGTTTGTCTCCTTCTCTGTTTTCATCTTATCTTATTTTTACTTCCCTTCCCCTATGTTCATCTGTTTTGTTTCTTAAATTCCACATATGAGTGAGATCATCTGATATTTGACTTTCTCTGACTGACTTATTTCACTTAGCATAATACCCTCTAGTTCCAGCCATGCTTGCAAAAGGCAAGATTTCATTCTTTTTGATGGCTGAGTAATATTCCATTATAGATATAGATATAGATACAGAAATAGATAAAGAAGATGTGGTATGTGCGTACATATATGTATATGTATGTACAAACACACGTACACACACACACCACATCTTCTTTATCTATTCATCAGTCGATGGACATCTGGACTCTTTCCATGGTTTGGCTATTGTGGACATGGCTTCTATAAACATTGGGGTGCATGTGCCCCTTCAAATCACTATGTATCCTTTGAATAAATACCTAGTAATACAATTGCTGGGTCGTAGGGTAATTCTATTTTTAACTTTTTAAGGAACCTCCATACTGTCCTCCACAGTGCCTGCACCAGCTTGCATTACCCCCAACAGTATAAAAGTGTTCCCCTTTCTCCGCATCCTCACCAGCATCTGTTGTTTCCTGACTTGTTCATTTTAGCCATCCTGACTGGCGTGAGGTGGTATCTCGTTGTGGTTTTGATTTGTATGTCCCTGATGCCTAGTGGTATTGAGCATTTTTTCATGTGTCTCTTGGCCATTTATATGTCTTCTTTGGAGAAATGTCTGTTCATGTCTTCTGCCCATCTCTTGACTGGATTTTTTTGTTTTTTTGGGGTGCTGAGTTTGATAAATTCTTTCTTATTTATTTATTTATTTATTTATTTATTTATTTATTTATTTGACAGAGAGAGAGAGAGATAGTGAGAGCAGGAACACAAGCAGGGGTGTGGGGGAGGGAGAAGCAGGCCTCCCACTGAGCAGGGAGCTTGATGGGGGGCTCCCTCCCAGGACCCTGGGATCATGACCTGAGCCAAAGGCAGATTATGGCTGAGCCACCCAGGCACCCCTGATAAGTTCTTTATAGATTTTTGGATACTAACCCTTTATTGAGATGGCCTCCTTATCAGCCTGTGACATCTTCCAGGCCAGCCTCTTCCATTTCTTCCCTGGCGGTTACTGTTGGCCTCACAGTCTTGCCTGAGACAGGAAAGAGCTCTCTGGTATCAGCATTGCTGGTCTCACTTAGCTTCCTGTGTGTGCAATCACAGCTGGGAGGGGCCAAGGACATTCTGTTGGGGCCACACCCATTAGCAAAAGTATAGATACTGAGATTTGCCGTCAACCTTCAGAGCTACACCCCCTATCATCATGCAGTCCAGCAGCCTCTTCGCTCTCGTGCTTCTTGTCCTGGGAACCCTGGCACCTTGGACCGCAGAAGGTGTTGGAAATGGTCAGTTGAAGCCATGCGGGCACATTCTTGGCTAAAGGGCGGAGGTGGGGTCTCCTGGTGGAGGGAGGGTGTCTCCTTCCAGAGGCTCTGATCTCTCAGCTTGGTTTCAAGAGACCTCCCTCAGGGTGGGTTCATGTCCATCTGGGCTTCCAGGTCTCTGTGTGGGCTTCTGAGCATTGGGATGTGCTCTTTTACCAGAATCCAGTCAGCCCAGGCCCCACTCCCTCTGGTCTTAACTCTCTCTCTCTACCCTATCTGTGCATCTGCAGTCATCTGTCGCGGGCTCTCTCCTGTTCCCCATCTCTCTGCTTCTATCCTTCAGTCTCTGTGTCTCTGCCTCTGGCTCTAGCTCTCAATCCGTCCTGTTGGCTCTATTTACCTTTGTCTCTCTCCATCTCCCTTACCCCAGAACCCCAGACTGCCTCTCTGCCTTTGTGGAGCCTTGTTTTCCCCGGGGTAGGAAACCTTAGCTGGGAGCCCTCTGCCCTTTTCCAGGATCTGCCCACGTGTGTGGCTTACTCAAGCCTGTCACTCTTGGTGGAGGTCAGATAAGCATTTCTTTCTGCACTTTGTGGACAGTCATCTGGGTGAGGGTCTCTGCTGGAGAGTGGTGCTTTGTCCAGGAGTCAGGATGGCTACTTAGCACCCAGCTCCTTTCTTAACTCTTGACATTCTCTTCAACAGCGTTGAAAGCTGGAGCCTGCCCTTCTATACGGTCTTCTCGGTGCTTCTTTGGATATGAGCAACCTGAGTGCCAGAGTGACTGGCAGTGTCCAGAGAGGCAGATCTGTTGCTCTGATGTTTGTGGCATCAGATGCCTGGACCCTGTTAACATCTTCAACCAAAGTGAGGAGGTGGAAGGGCTGATGGGGAGGGAGTGAGCCTGAGAATGCAGCACCTGGGGGACAGCCCTGGGTGCTGGCCCTGCCAGGTCTCCTCCATTCCAGGAATTGTTGAGTCAAATTTGTCAGCTGGCCAGGGAGTCACACTGCTCCAGACAGGAATTTACTCAGCCAGTCTGTCTTGGGCAGTGGTCACCTGGCCATTCAGGTAAAAGCAGGCAAATGGCAGCCAGCCAGCCAGTCAATACTGGACAACTGGTCACCTACGTGGACAGGGAGATATGAAAGGAGACCCAGATCCTGCCTTGAGGGGATACAGAGGCCCTGGGAAGGAAGAGGTGGTCATGGGGATGGAGAAGAGATGATTCTCCCTGCGAGGGCTGGGCTGGGGCTGGGTCCAGGAAGCAAGGGTGGTGCAGAAGGCACAAAGCCTCTGACCTGTGACTCTACTCTCACTAGTTAAAGTGAAGCCTGGCAGGTGTCCTGTGGTCACTGGCCAGTGTCTGATGCTCAACCCCCCCAACTACTGTGAGACCGACAACCAGTGTGTGAGCGACTTCAAGTGCTGTAGGGGCATGTGCGGGAAAGTCTGCGTGGCCCCTGAATAAGGTAAGGAGGGGCCTGGGCCCACCCATCTCCCCCCCACCAGTCCTCTCTATCCCAAGCCCCTGGCAGCCATGGCATATGAGCAGGGGGACTCCTGATCTCTCCTCCAAAACAGCTTCTGCCTAGGCCCCTTGTCCTTCAAGGGCACTGCTCCCCAGGCCCCAGGGCCAGGATTTCTGTAGGATCACTCATGGCTTTGATTCTCTTCCAACCCCTCTGGGTGAAGACCCTGGGCATATGGCTCTCTGAGTCTCAGTTTCCTTATCTTTAAAATGGGCACAATGAAATTGAAAGTGCTTTGTAAAACACTGTGTGCACTAAGTATTTCTTATTAAGATCATCTCTAGCATGTTATCTAGGGTCAAAGCCCAAAGGATCAATGGATTTTGAGGATAATCTAGCTCAATGCTCTGAGTTTAGAGTCCTACAGTAAATTGAGACTTGAACTCAGTCTCCTGATACCAAGACTTTTTCGACAATGCTACCACCTTGCTATTTTCTCTGTCTTGGGGGGTTTCTTGGGGGAAGAATGGGGAGATTATTTGGCTGGTTCCTGTATTGAAGCCCTAATCTGATTTTCTCTCATAGCCTGATTCCTGCCATTTGGAAGAGGCTCTGGATTCCTACTCTGTGGTCTGGGAATTCTGCTTTCTGCTCCCGGACTTGGAGCAATGGGGTGGCACTCTATGGTCAAGACTTGGTTCTACCACCAATATCTCCATTGGGGAAAAGCTTGACACACAGTAGTCTTTCAGGAAATGCTTGTTGATTGGTGAATAAATAAATGAGCAAATTTATTTCTGTCCATCTGCTTCCATGGTTTGCTGGTGCTGTGAATTGAGTGGGAGGTGATGAGGGAGTATGTGGCTATGAGGCCTCCTTCCTATAGATACAGAGTGGAAGAAAGAGGATTCAGGGCCGTGATGAATCTACATCATGAGTCTGAAATACTGGCTCTGCAATTTTGGACAAATGACCTTATCTCATACATCTTAATTTCTTGACTTGCAAAGTGGCACCATGTTTGGAGCATTGG